ATGTTGTTTCAAAGCTGCCGGAGCTCACAAGGATGTGCCCGGATGAGGGCAGAGGTATTTCCCTATAATCCAGCCCGGATGAGGGCAGAGGTATTTCCCTATACCCATCATTTCTCTGAGCCTTTGGGATTCATTTACTTTGTAAGCACATTTCAGTCGCCGTTTCCTTCCCCTTTGATCAAAGTGTGCTGGGAACTTTGATATAGCTGGTTTTTTGTTGTTTGCTTTGTTATGTCTTTAAAGACTCCTTGGCAAACACCCAGCACAATGCTGTGAGGTGTTCGGGTTCCCCCAAAGTAAGGAACACACGGCTGCTGGGAGCAGAAACTCTGCATAGCTCCCTTTAACCCTCAGTTAAAATGTCTCCGGCTGCAAGCATGCAAGGGAAAGGAGGCAACTTCACACCAGTATCTTCCAGCTCAGTGTAAGGCCAACAGAAAGGCTCCCACTGACTCCAGCAAGTGCTGGAAGCACCACTGTGGTTAGAGCTGGGCTGCAAGGCGGTGAATAAAATGTCCAAGAAGAATCTGAATTAGGAGGTATGTAGGGAGGAACAATTTTTTTTCCTAAAGACAAGCAGCATCGATCTTCACGCTTCCTGCAATCTGTCAATGAGGGATACGTTCTCTTTTTTTTATTCCTGGATGAAGTGAAAGACTGGAACAATAACCGTGTACGCACTGTGCACCGGAAGGCTATCATGCCTTTCACACCAGGTAATTGACCTTCTAGCCTGTTATTTAGGACTGTCATCTAGATTAGTATCCTTGTACCATGAATCTTTTACTTGTCACTCAATCCTAGGCTGTCTGTTATGATAAGTGGCTCAAATAAGACTTCCCAAAACCAGAAGTCTGCTCAGAAATACTATTTCATTCTGATGAAGGCTCCGATAGCCTAGGTAAACCACTATACATGTCAACTTACTAACCACATTTTTTTTGAAGTTGATGTGTAACTTCTCCAAAATGAATCAAACAACTGTTTCCATTCTTTCCATTGCTGAACAGCAAAAAATCAGTTCAGCATAATTTGCAGAACCATCTTCATTTGGTGCAATAGTCATGAAATAATTTGGCAATTGCTATGACTGATGACCTGGTGTGACAGCACTGATGACTGCACTGACAGTGAAGGCAGAAGCCATTTGGTTTGAGCAGGACGGGGTCGGGCAAGCTGGCCACCTGTCTTTTGTGCAACAGGGCCCTGCTCAAATGTTTCTGTGCATTAAAGCAGTTGACACATCTGTGAATTTCCGTTGGCTAAAACAGCTGGCAAGACACCAAACGTGTTTCTCTAGACAGTAGTTTTGGCGCATCTCTGTGGCTGAGTGCTTGGTATTTTGCTTATGGAATGGGAAAATGCCAGCTGGGTAATCAAATACTAGGACTGAAAGACTGACAAAAATAGCCTTGAAGTGCAGAAATCAGTGTTTGTGGAAATGAATAGCCAGGCTCCCTTGGTATCAGCTGGGCTCTGCTCTGCCAGAGCAAACGCGAGGCAGCTCTCTATCTGGGTGAAGAAACCGCTCGACAAGGGCACGGGGGGGACACGGCGACTTTGCTTTATGAGCTGAACGTGAGTCACAGCGCCGGGAACAGTTTCTGCGCAGGCTCCACTGAACTAATATTCACTTCAGCACTGTTCTCTCACTCTGATCTACAGCTACTGGCAAAAGAAAAAGAGAAAGGGACTGAAAGTAAAGGAAAAAGATAAAAATACATTCTTGGCAGAGGCTGCCTGTGAGCTTGCATTTAGGATGGGCAGCACGCAGCATGCCAACTATTTCCAAGATACCTTAAGAAGTAAGCTTATAACTTTCCTTTCAGGAAGGAAAATTCCTTTTTTTTTTTTTCTTTTTTTTTTTTGGTTACTGCTCTAGCGGAGGGGAGAAACCACCTCATTTCTGCCCTGTTCAGTGGTCTCTAGTTTGTGCCACTCTAGCACAGATACAACAGAGCGTAACTGGAAAACTGCCACAGAATAAACAAATATTATCATCATCATGAAAAGAATGATTGCACAGGGCATGAGCCAAAACCCAGGGAGTCATTACAAAGCTGTGCTTGTGGTGAAAATGCAATCTCCAGCTTTTTTATCAGAGTGGCATGTGTATGGCCAGCTTCAGCTACTGCTTCCCTACATCCATCCCTGATCCGAGCTCGAGGGTTACAAATGAGGTGGGGCTACACTGTAAGGGATCTCTGAAACCTCACAGCCCACTCCATCCTACTTGTGACAAATGCTGCTAGCAGGAAATCAAAACACTTCGAAATTAAAGGCTATTTTAAAGGGGTGGTTTCAGTTTCATATCCAAGAGACAAGTGACAGATTAAACGTTTGAATAACAGTAGTACCAGTAAAAAGTAGGCTATTTTCAAAGGCATCAAGGGGATGATCACCTTGACCACAAAACTTCATCCTCTCAGTGAAATCTCTGCTTGGTAAAAACGATCTGGCAAACAAGTAAACGTGATTGCTACGTGCAGTAGTGGCAGTGCCCTGATCTTCCCCCATAGTTCTCCCAAAGGCCCCTTCACAGGCAGCTGAAAATATTTCAGTGCCTGTAAAAGGCAGCATTACTGGAACTATATTTCAACAACAGCGTTCACAACCAGAGTGGAAAGACAAAGGTTTATGGATAAAGTGATTAAATACGAAAATTCCTGTCAGTTTCCTATCTGGTAAAGGAATGTGCAGCAAGGTATTAGCATAATTACTATCTGCAAGTAATACGCACATAGGGAAGAAAAACGTGATGTACAAATAGTATCACATGATGGTTACTATTAAATTACACTACAGACAGATTTTCCTCTCTGCACTGTCATTACACCTTTTGAACACACCTGGATGGGCTTAAGAATGAGGCTTACTTTCATTTTTTTAAAAAACAGTCAGTATTTTTCTTATGACAAAGTAAAAGATAATTCCAGTATTCTAACTCAAAACATCAAGCTATTATTAACTAAGTCAATAACTGTTGTACACTATGCCCTGTGTATATCATATAGAGTATTTGGCTTCCAGTTATGTTTTAAGCCTGTAAACTGGTCTTAGGGATTGCTTGACATCACAGTGCTTTTCAGTTTGGTCTCTCCCTCCCAGGTTATAACCTCTCTTCTGTTGGACCATATGAGTGCTCTAGCTGGAGGCCCTGGAGAGCTTCTCATTTTTCCAGCAAGCACTGATTTATGTGACAAACACACTCATCTTTCTCACAACCATAGGCATGGCTTTAACCATGGTATTATTTTTTGTAATCTTACCTCTATGTAAGATTCAAGAGCTAGATGATCCCTGCTGGTGGTAAGATTTAGGAAGAAAGCGATGAGCTTTTAAGCGTAGATTTTTAACCCAGTCAGTGGCTGTCTTTCTAGCTAAAATTGCCCAGAAGGGTGTGTTTTTCTATAGCCTCAAAAAGCTGGGATGGGCAGGACATGCAATCTGAGAGGGCTGTTTTAAATCTTTGTCTCTGAGTCTTCCTCAACCTCTGACCTCTCAGTATCTCTGCTGAGGAATTGGGAGTTCTTCTTCTAATCTGCTTTGGCAACACTCATCTGGCAGGCCCCTGGAGCAAACTTGAATTATCTTTTGGAGGTTCAGTTCATCATTTGATCTTTCTATGGTCTGGATTAGTCATTAACCTTGAATTATCCACTTTACCTACTTGCCTAAGACTCCCACATTTTCAAGGAAAAAAATTGTCTACAGCACTATGTACTTAAACCCAGGGGAGATGAATGTCTGCAAATGAAGACTTGTAGCTAAGGATTTGGGAAAAAATGCTATGAAGATAAAATGGGCCCAGGCTGAAGGATGGGGTGGAAGAGTGCAATTAAAAGACATGAAGTCACTTTGCAGAGATTTGTAGCCTCTTATAACACAAAGCTATTACATGTTCTAAGGTAAATATTGAAGCCCATTAAATTTCACCTGGTTATTTCTGTCCTGAGTGCTGCAGAAGACTGGTGCCTGCAGGTTGGTTCTGTTCCACTGGCTACACATCCAGGACACATTTGCACATGCACTCACTATCTACAGGGATTGCGCTACTTCTGTTCCCTTCCCAACACTGCGGTGAAATTAAGTTCCCTGCTTTCACAATAATAGCCTGGATGTGACCAAAGACACATTTGCAATAATGCTAA